GCTGATTCTATAGTGCCACATGGTTCTCGTCTCTCTTCCTTCCTTACTGTCGTGGCAGCTATAGTGCCACATGGTTCTCGTCTCCCTTCCTTCCTTAGTGTCGTAGCATCTATAGTGCCACATGGTTCTCGTCTCCCTTCCTTCCTTAGTGTCGTAGCATCTATAGTGCCACATGGTTCTCGTCTCTCTTCCTTCCTTAGTGTGGTGGCATCTATAGTGCCACATGGTTCTCGTCTCCCTTCCTTCCTTAGTGTGGTGGCATCTATAGTGCCACATGGTTCTCGTCTCCCTTCCTTCCTTAGTGTCGTGGCATCTATAGTGCCACATGGTTCTCGTCTCCCTTCCTTCCTTAGTGTGGTGGCATCTATAGTGCCACATGGTTCTCGTCTCCCTTCCTTCCTTAGTGTGGTGGCATCTATAGTGCCACATGGTTCTCGTCTCTCTTCCTTCCTTAGTGTCGTGGCAGCTATAGTGCCACATGGTTCTCGTCTCCCTTCCTTCCTTAGTGTGGTGGCATCTATAGTGCCACATGGTTCTCGTCTCCCTTCCTTAGTGTCGTAGCATCTATAGTGCCACATGGTTCTCGTCTCCCTTCCTTCCTTAGTGTGGTAGCATCTATAGTGCCACATGGTTCTCGTCTCCCTTCCTTCCTTAGTGTCGTAGCATCTATAGTGCCACATGGTTCTCGTCTCCCTTCCTTCCTTAGTGTGGTGGCATCTATAGTGCCACATGGTTCTTGTCTCCCTTCCTTCCTTAGTGTGGTGGCATCTATAGTGCCACATGGTTCTCGTCTCCCTTCCTTCCTTAGTGTGGTGGCATCTATAGTGCCACATGGTTCTCGTCTCCCTTCCTTCCTTAGTGTGGTGGCATCTATAGTGCCACATGGTTCTTGTCTCCCTTCCCCCCTCCTTCTTGCACACCTGGTTCCATAGTAGTGTTGTGGCATCTATAACGTGACCCTCTTGTCTCCCTCAGAGTCGGTGAGGAACACGCCGTGCTCGGACGCCCCTCCCCCGGCCTCCTCGCAGCTCTCCTCGCAGCTCTCCTCGCAGCTCTCCTCGCAGCTCTCCTCGCAGCTCTCCTGTCCCTCGGAGATCACGGTGGACCCGGAGGGGAGCTACCACGGCAGCACCACGGAGGAGGAGGGCAGCTATAGCGGCAGCCTGGCCCCTCTGCGCCCGGTGCACGCACACGCACACCCGCTGAAGAGCTTCGCAGTCCCCGCCATCCCCCCGGGAGCCCACCCCTCCTACGAGAACCCCGCCCTGCCCTGCACGCCCCTGCTCACACAGAGCGGTACGAGACCGAGACAGAGACCGAGACTTAGACTCACTGGGGTCTCATGAAGAAGGAGACTAGGGGAAGATAGACACATGTAAAGTTATGGTCCTGAGTTAGCCCACAATAGATCCAGGACTGAGGCTGTAGACCCAGGACTGAGGCTGTAGACCCAGGACTGAGGCTGTAGACCCAGGACTGAGGCTGTAGACCCAGGACTGAGGCTGTAGACCCAGGACTGAGGCTGTAGACCCAGGACTGAGGCTGTAGACCCAGGACTGAGGCTGTAGACCCTGGACTGAGGCTGTAGACCCAGGACTGAGGCTGTAGACCCAGGACTGAGACTGTAGACCCAGGACTGAGGCTGTAGACCCAGGACTGAGACTGTATAGACCCAGGACTGAGACTGTAGACCCAGGACTGAGGCTGTAGACCCAGGACTGAGGCTGTAGACCCAGGACTGGGGCTGCAGACCCAGGACTGAGGCTGCAGACCCAGGACTGAGGCTGTAGACCCAGGACTGAGGCTGTAGACCCAGGACTGAGGCTGTAGACCCAGGACTGAGACTGTAGACCCAGGACTGAGACTGTAGACCCAGGACTGGGGCTGTAGACCCAGGACTGAGGCTGTAGACCCAGGACTGAGACTGTAGACCCAGGACTGGGGCTGTAGACCCAGGACTGAGGCTGTAGACCCAGGACTGAGGCTGTAGACCCAGGACTGAGACTGTAGACCCAGGACTGGGGCTGTAGACCCAGGACTGAGGCTGTAGACCCAGGACTGAGGCTGTAGACCGAGGACTGAGGCTGTAGACCCAGGACTGGGGCTGTAGACCCAGGACCCCCCAGGCGCTCCCAGCCACCCCCACGTGGTGAAGACGGCCTCCATCGGGACCCTGGGCCGGACGCGGACCCCGATGATCGTGACGGTGCCCAACGCCCCGGACGTCCCGGAGACCAGCCGGATGTTGGAGGACGTGGACAGTGTGAGTCTCGGACACGTCTTCCTGAACATCGACGTGCTCCTCTGACCTCACGCTCACAGGAACCGTCCGGACGCCGCCGTTAACTCTGTCTCTCTGTTTCTCCTCTTTTCCGTCTGCTTCTGTCGCTTCTGTCGGCGCATGTTTGTCTTTTAATCAATAACTTTTCAAAAACACCTGGAATGATTTTGTTGCTTTTTTGTTTCGTTCATTTGGAATGCTTTTCTGGATGTTTTTCCGGCTGCTTTTTTCTTTTGGCTTCAGTTTCTTTGACCCATTCTCATTTCATTCATACAGTAAGGGGCTGTTCCTGCTGCAAAGACGTGGACTTTCAATGGGAAGCGTTTTATTTCTAGGGTGACAAGGGCAGTGCTAGCAAACGAGCTAAATGTATGAGCTAGAATGAGGTTATAAAACACATAAGTCGGGACTAAGTCGGGACTAAGTCGGGGCCAAGTCGGGGCCAAGTCGGGGCCAAGTCGGGGCCAAGTCGGGGCCAAGTCGGGGCCAAGTCGGGGCCAAGTCGGGGCCAAGTCGGGGCCAAGTCGGGGCCAAGTCGGGGCCAAGTCGGGGCCAAGTCGGGGCCAAGTCGGGGCCAAGTCGGGGCCAAGTCGGGGCCAAGTCGGGGCCACTGTCTGACCATGTGATCATAATTCTGGACCATGTATAAAATAGGTCTTAAACCTGGCCTGGTCTGGTCTCCAAAGCTCAGCAGGTCTTTAGTTCGGAAGCTGTAAAGTGCAAGGGAAATGTCAGTGTTGTATTACCAGTTAAAGAACAGAAGAATGAGGTTAATATAAAGTATAGAACAACTCTATACTTCTCTATATTTTTTGGTTAATAAAAAAGCAAGACCCGGTCCAGAACCAGATGTTTTTTATTGCCATCGTAGATTACAGGAAGTCACAGGAGGTCACAGGAGGTCACAGGAGGTCACAGGAGGTCACAGGAGGTCACAGGAGGTCAAAGGAAGTCACAAACTAGGAATCTCTTTGGCTCCAGGTGCAGAGAAGTTGTTAGAGTAAAAAGGTAAAGGCAGCATAAAGAGGCGTCGATAAACCAGATTATTAACGCCATAATCCAGCCTCAGGTCTACCCCAGACTTACCCCAGGTCCAGGTATCACAGGTACAGGACATCAGCTGGAGTCTTTGCCTCAGCATCAGCCCCTCCCCCTGCCCTCCTAACCTGACTGACCTGGGCTTGCTCTCCCCCCTCTCCCCCTCTCCCCCCTCTTCCCCCCTGGCTCTCCTGCAGGTCCTGGCCTCCCTGACGCCCTCCTCCGCCTCGCGCAGTAACGCCCCCCCTCCTGTGCCTCTCCCGCAGAGCTACGAACCCGACGAGCTGACGGAGGAGATGGCCCACCTGGAGGGCCTCATGAAAGACCTGAACGCAATCACCACCGCGCCCTAGGGACCCCGCCCCGCCCCACCCCAACTCAGCACCCTAAGGACCCTACCCCGCCCCGCCACCACACCCTAAGGACCCCACCCCCCCCTCGCCACAGCACCCAAAGGACCCCACCCTGCTCCACACAGCACCCTGAGGACCTCACCCGCCCTGCCACAACACCCTAAGGACCCCACCCCGCCCTCGCCACAGCACCCAAAGGACCCACCCTGAGGACCTCACCCGCCCTCGCCACAGCACCCTAGGGACACAACTGATTGTTCCGGCTGTTTTACACTTTCACCAGATTAGAAACACAAGATCTGCTACTAGCTTCTCAACCTGCCCTGGTCCTGCCTCCCCTGGTCCTGTCTCCCCTGGTCCTGCCTCCCCTGGTCCTGCCTCCCCTGGTCCTGCCTCCCCTGGTCCTGCCTCCCCTGGTCCCTCCCCTGGCCCTGGGTCCCCTGGTCTCTCCCCTGGTCCTGGGTTCCTTGGTCTCTACCCTTGTCCTAGCTCCACTGGTCCTGATCTCTCCCCTGGTCCTCTCTCCCCTGGTCTCTCCCCTGGTCTCTCCCCTGGTCCTGTCTCCCCTGGTCTCTCACCTGGTCTCTTCCCTGGTATCTCCCCTGGTCTCTCCCCTGGTCTCTCACCTGGTCTCTCTTCTGGTCTCTCCCCTGGTCTCTCACCTGGTCTCTCCCCTGGTCTCTCCCCTGGTCTCTCCCCTGGTCTCTCCCCTGGTCTCTCCCCTGGTCTCTCACCTGGTCTCTCACCTGGTCTCTCCCCTGGTCTCTCACCTGGTCTCTCCCCTGGTCTCTCCCCTAGTCTCTCACCTGGTCTCTCCCCTGGTTTCTCCCCTGGTCTCTCACCTGGTCTCTCCCCTGGTCTCTCCCCTGGTCTCTCACCTGGTCTCTCCCCTGGTCTCTCACCTGGTCTCTCCCCTGGTCTCTCCCCTGGTCTCTCACCTGGTCTCTCCCCTGGTCTCTCCCCTGGTCTCTCCCCTGGTCTCTCCCCTGGTCTCTCTCCCTGGTCTCTCACCTGGTCTCTCTCTCTGGTCTCTCCCCTGGACTCTCCCCTGGTCTCTCACCTGGTCTCTCCCCTGGTCTCTCACCTGGTCTCACCTGGTCTCTCCCCTGGTCTCTCACCTGGTCTCACCTGGTCTCTCCCCTGGTCTCTCCCCTGGTCTCTCCCCTGGTCTCTCCCCTGGTATCTCCCCTGGTATCTCCCCTGGTCTCTCACCTGGTCACTCCCCTGGTCTCTCCCCTGGTCTCTCCCCTGGTAGCTCCCCTGGTATCTCCCCTGGTCTCTCCCCTGGTTTCTCCCCTGGTCTCTCCCCTGGTATCTCCCCTGGTCTC